TGTAATGATAGAGCTTAGGGGTAGTGAATTAAGTCCAATATTAGCTTTATCTCTAGAGGAAAATATGTGTAATCTTAGTTTAATAACATCATTAGATACCCCCTTATAATTAAAGATTGCATAAATTTATAAGAAACCAATTATATGTAAATTTGGATTCTCTATAAATGAACCCCTAAATTTTGAATTTTGTAGAATTTATAGAATTTTGTAGAATTTGTAAATTTGGATCCTCTATAAATGAACACCAAACTTTTAGATAAAAAATATTAGCTTGAATTGTAATGGGATGAAGAATCACATCTACTAAAGGATTTCTATACTCTCTTAGTGGTCTAGGTTGATCTATTTCATTTGGTTTACTTTCCATGATTTCAGTTTGATTTTAATTTTTTTTTCTATGTTCTATATAGCTTTTTTTTTCTATTTTTAGGTCAAAAAATACTATTTCTAAAAATTTTGTTCTTTTTTTGGAACATACAAAAATAAAAATTGGAAGGAATAGCAAACAATAGCACTATGGCACTAATGAATCAATGTTGCAATGGTAGGTACAAAATTATTTAGATAATAATATAAGTAGATAATTATTAATGCATATAATCATAACACAATAAAAATTGAATAAGCAACTTTATAGGGACAAGAAAATGAAGTGTTAACCTTCAATTAGCACAATATTTCAATGAAAATAATATTCTTAAAACCAATATTAACTTAAACAGATGTATCAATTAATCTTCAACAATATTGCCAAAAACTAGATCAGGCTATGCTATATATGTAAGTGCACGCATCATTTAAGTAATAAATCAATGAGTTGAGTATTATTCCCATGTGGATCAAACTATAGAATATGCTAAGTTCATTACCAATTTATCTAACCTTTGATTTTATCCAACAATTCAAAAAATTTTATAATAAAATCTCAAAGAAAAACTTACACTACACTGATGTTATTGTGCCTTTTTTCTAATGAGGTAAAGTTTTATGGATCAATTATTTAGCTAAAGTGAAACTTTGAACTTATGTGAAAGATTTATCCTTAAATTAAACTTTTAATCAAGAACATAAATATTTTCTAATCTTCATCAATAACTAGAAAATCTAGTATCTTTCTTTGACTAGGTATATACTGATCCCTGTTAATTCAAATGATTGCATTATACATATTTCTTACAAGATTGCAATTGAAATAGTACTATATGCTTATGTACTCAGTCAATTGTTTATTTCACCCTATTTATTCCACTAAGACTCCTCCAATATTTTTAGATCACAATATTTATTAAGTTAAGATGTGCATGGCCAAAGGATAATTAAATTAATAGTGGAGTAAAACAAAATAAAAGTATAATTATCATTCCACAAAATCAACTACATAAGATGCAAAGTCATTTATAAATCTTGAGAAACAAATTATTTTTTAAACATATTTGAGAAAATGAAGAAAATACAGTAATCAAACATGAAAATTACAATAGAATTAATTTTTATCAGTTGAAAATAATCTCGCTTTCTGCTCCTTCCTTATGTTGTTTTCTACTTTTTATTCTTATCTCTAATCAAACTTGAACATGCTCTTTCACTCTTTCACTCAATAGTCACTTTATCCACACATTCTCTACACACTCTCTGAACAGTTTACACATTATAGGTAATGATAATCAATATAACATAATCTTAGGTTAAAACTTAAGTATATAAGGGTCCCACCACTGAAGTGTTGACTCTCTTAACCTTGAATTATTTATTCATGAAATGATGGCATGAATGGGCCACCTAAGAAAGTATGATTTGCTTATAGATAGTCATAATGTGTAGATGCTAATCACCACTTCAAGTGGTACATGTACACTTAAGGGCTAAGAATGGCATTAACTGGTTGAACATGGTTCAAACACTCTAAGGTCACATAGATATATGCATATGAACTTAATGATATGTTGAATGTATGTATGATAGAAGCAATTAGAGTTACACAGATGAATATGATTAGATGTTTAAGATACAGTGTCAAAATTTTAATTATATCAAATATGATAGGGTAAGATATACCCCCTAGACACCTAGATGAAATTATTGAATGATAGAAGGATATATCTACTGAGCCTAAGAACTCATCATGAATATAAGGACGAAAATTATAACCTATTAGATGCCTTAAGTTCATTGAGCCACCAATATACTCTATGGTAATATTATGGGTGTAAGGTACAAATGCAGTCATAACCATATTCTAATCAAATCGAGGTAAGTAGTGTTATGATGCTTAGTTTTATAGTGCAAAGGTACTAAGCTTTGTAATGCCACGTTTGGTTGTTGCATGACCAAGAGTTCTCCAGTCCTTAAAGATGTCATCCACTTCTTTATAGATACATGCATTCCAAAACTTTATTCCAAATCCTCTCAGCAAACCAACAACTAATAAACAAATGATTAAGAAATTCTTCCTCTTCCCTACAAAGTAAGTAACAAAAAACAATCACGAGTCCTTTTAATTTTAATATATCATCAATAGGAAGGATTTTATGAAAAATCCTCTAAATGAAAAAGATAAAGGTGGCTTCACCCAATAGTTCCAAATCCATTTTAGATCAATACCCCGAAAAACTTGAAAAGAGTTAGTAAAGGAATTAGCAATTGTGTTTCCAATTTTTTTTTGTCATATTTCCTTAAAGTACCATATTTTACATTGATTTGCTTCTCATGCATACACAAAACTAAAAAATAATTAGTATTCTCTAAGGAATTATTCCTAATAAATTCACTCTAAGGCTAAAGCCTATATACGTGTATTAAATCTAAAAACAACTATGAATGCAATTTAATTGAGCCTTTTCTAATGCATGAAAATAAAGTTCAAGATTACATGTATCTTTTAGGGGTTTTATTTGTAGATATTACAATCAAGGATGTCTATGTATTTCTTCATAACATGTGGTGGAAGATTATTCTACCTATCCTCTATGATTTATGCTTGATCAAAATACTCCTTATGAGTCTATTTTGGTCCTTTGAGTGATTAGAGGATGAAGATATGATCCACCACATGCACGTTGGACTATCATGCTCTATAAAGTAATGGATATGTCTAGAAATACTTATAGATAAAAAATTTGTATTAATGGAGATTTGTCATCTCAATATTACTAATTATAAACTCAATATTATAGATGACTTGAAGGGAGACAACAAAGTTTAGTTTATACCTTAACATCAATTTCAAATTGTACAGATTTGATATAAAATTCTCTACACATCTTGAGATGATCCTGCAATCATGACTGAAAAATATTTTTACTTAATCTCTTCCATGTCGCAACCAAATCTCAAAAGTGCAAACCTTCACATTCATTGTAAACTGATTTAGATTAACATAACATGTGTTCATAAGGACATGTCAATGCTTAATCTCCTTACACTTCATAAAATGTTTTTCCTCATTATCTTTGTCCTAATTCATATCTAAACATGAGTCATGCTCCATTCTTTAACATATTTAAATTTGATTAGATAAAAGTATTTTAATTATATCATTAACATTATGAATTCAAAAACTTATTTATTAAAACTTGACTTTATATAGCATATTTGGCACGATTTTACTATTGTTAAAGTAATCTTTTAAGTGTATGATAACATTTTATATCAAAATGTCATGAGGCAACCCTTCAATTTAATTATATATCTTTAAATCCAGATTTTAATGATTACTTTGATGCCAGGAAACTATCCTTAATAAACTTTATAAATGGTTAATTATAATTTTAAAAAATCTATATTTAAATCATAAATTTTTTTTTTCTATAATAAAATACTCCTTGCACCTATTAATTTTAATTAATTAGTTATAACTCTGTAAGCTATATAACCAAATTCCAGATATATTATGCTATAGATCCAAAGAAATAAAGATATATCACATCTACAGGCCACATATCATGCTATTATTGTTTATCATGTTAATTATATACCCGCATTAAATAGTACCTTCTAATGTCTTGAATAAGAGTTTATCATGTTAATTATATACCCGCATTAAATAGTAGCTTCTAATGTCTTGAATAAGAGTGCCAACCATTAAACTGTCATTTATAATTACCAATTGTGCATATCATATAAACTATAAAATCACTCCATTATCTTGCTCAAAGGAGGCTTTAGCCTGCAACAAAATATGTGTTAGGTTTTGCCTAGACATACTAGTGTTGTCCACCCCTTCTTTTAGTTTTTACTTGAATTTTTATGTGTATGTGCTATTACTGCATTTAAAACCCTCCATTGTACACATGAAACTTATGCATAAAATATGCTTAGATGATACTTCACCTCTTACTTTGATCATTTTTCATTTTACCCTTTCTAGGCTCATTCCCAATTTCATCACAGCCTATGTTGGATGATTATATTTTTACAAAATTACATTCAAATATTTGTATTATTAAGTTATCAAACAACAGATCTAAAAAATTCACATTTTCACCACCTAAATTTAACTATAATAATTATATCAATTTATTATGAACTATTGTATTACATAAATATCCTAAATAGCTGGCACTCATTGAATAATTTATCAAAACATTTAATCTTTATTATACAAATAACTAGTCCCTTGACAGCTTTTCACTATAATAAAAGCAATCTCACCTATCGAAATTATACCATCTACAACTTCACCTAAAATACTATTTTAAAACATATTTAAAACAAATTTCAAAAGAAAATAAAACCAATGTTAGCTCACTAACTAAATATGATTACTTCCGGAAGAAAAGCCAAGAATGTCCAACTTTTTCAGCACAATGCTCAGTATAGTAATCGAGCTGTAGATGAGAAGGGTAGTTATAAGCTAACGGTGGAGATTGTTTTGCAGAAGTTAGCGGCTTGTCACCTCCCAAAAGAGCCCTTATGGGTGGTGGGCAGCCCAAGACTTAAATACTGCTTTTCGGCCCTACACCTAGCCGATGTGGGACTATTTGTCCGTGACAGGCTGCTCCAGCAAAAATGAGAAAATATTGAGCTGAGTTGTTAAATATAGCTTGTAAACATGCAGGGCAAAAGTTTGACAGCAAAACTATTGTCTTTCGCCATTGGACCTCTCAAACATTTAAAGCCAGAGCTACCAGCTTCAAGAAAATCCAAAAAAGTTAAAACTAAAAATTAAAAGACCTCAAGCTGGCACCACTCAACAAACAATTATCATCTGCTGGTAAAAAATTGCCACCTTCCGGCAGAAAGAACATTAGACAGCAGAACACGGTTACCATAACAAAAAGAGAAGTTCAAATGATTTCAATTAGGACATTCTGGTTATCTGCACTCATGCCTTTAAATGGAAAAAATGAGCACTTCCCATTCCATGAACTTTTTCCATTGATGCACGGTGAAGTGCTGGGAAACAAGAATCAGAAAGAGCCAGGAAAGGCTCCAGCAATGCATGGATTGGTTTATCAGCTGAGGATGACAGTGAGCAGATATCTAGCATTCTTGTGTCTCCTAACAATGAAAGATAAACAAGAATTAATTACAATAAAGCCTCTTACCAAATGCTTCATGAGAAGCACGACCAGTCAACTCAATCAAAAACTTCTCACCGAAGGACTAGCCTTCTGTTGTGGCACAGAGAGTAGAACTGGGAACAAGAATCGGAAAGAACCAATAAAAGCTTGGGCAATACATGGATTGGATAATCCAATGAAGAATGTGGTGAGCAGATATCTAGCATTCCTAAGTTTCTTCTCAATGAGAGCAAAACTAGAACTAATTACAACAAGCCTCTTAACTGCTTCAGGAAAAGCCATACGCACCACCAATCAACTTCGCCGGAACTTCTTTGCGGAGTGATTAGTCTTCCTCTTGTGACGGCTGAAGTCTGACACAAATCGGAATGTTTGACCACATCCAGGTTCACGGCATATATAAGGACGATCTCCAGTGTGAACTCTTATATGCTCAGTTCGAGCCCAAGCCCACTTGAATGTCATCTTGCACCCCTTCCATGGACACTGAAGTGGACGGTCATCCATGTGAACTTTGCGATGTTGCATCATGTACTTGTGCGAGAACAATTTTTTCCCGCACCCTTTAACGGGGCATATATCCCGTTTGTGCAGTGATAGCTCTTGCTTCGTGCTAAAGCTCAAAGAGCAGCCTTCAATGTCACATGTGTACTCCCCCTCATCATCATATGACTTAGGAGGCTGGCCTCCCTTGGCTCTTTTCTCATTTTGTTTTTTGAAGCTTGGTTTAACGAGTTTGGTATCTTCAGATTTCATTGGTCTTTGTCTGAGACGAGAGCTTGGCCCTCCTTCAGAGTCAGTTTTATGCTTCAATCGATTTTTGCTTCGAAGAATCCTACCTTTATCTGTCTGAGAAACTTTGTCATCATCTTCAATGACTTCTAAAATGTCATTTGATTGGTTAAACCTCCGTCTCTTGCCATTGGACTTCAGCATTGGCCTTTTCTTCCTCTTTTTAGATTTTTTTGAAGCAAGGCTGCTACCATTAGCAGAACTCCCATTAGATTCTGATCCATTGATAGAACTTGGATTAGTCATACCACCTTGTGCAAAGGGTCCTTCCTCTGACTCTTCATCTTGAGCATCCTTTCGTTGAGCCAAATAAGGATGAACTTGATTTGACATCCAAACCTTCCCACACCACTTGCCAGCGACAACTATTTTCTTCTGCCGACCTTGTCTCTTTCCGGAACCCTTTGTTTTCACCATAGAACTATTCGGTGAATTGCAGCTGAATGACTTGTAAATGACTTCATTGTATGGCATCTGCTTGCTGTACAGTGGAGATTTGCTAAGACTAGCACTGTAATATAGATTGATACCGAGTTTGACTGCCCAGTCACTATTAGTGGGTATGCTCTCCTCATCCTTCAAAGCTGCTTGAATTCTTTCATGATCCTTTTCAGTAGCCTCCATGAAATCAATCTTGTTCCATGCATAATTAATTCCTAATTCCTCTGCCAATGCCTTTGCCTCTGCTTCAATTTTAGGATAGTCTGCATACGGAGGTAAAGACATGCTTAATCATGCATAATATCATACAAAATTTATGGACAAATAAAGCATTAAAATGTGAACTAAGTGAAAGAAGCCAAAACTACTTGAATCATTCCACCACCTCCCTCTCTCCTCTTACTTTCCTCGCTTTCTTCCATGCACCCTCTACCCATCTCCCTCCTAGACAGAGTAAAATGAAACTTTCCTTGCATGAGTATAATCGACATAAAACTTAAACATTAAGCTTGTTTCATGTTGCTTCTAACTTAACTTAAATACCCACAAGACGAGCATTTTTTATAATGATATTGTACAATCAGTACCCCATCAAAGATATCTAATCACTGACAACAATTTGTCCAACTATTTAGGGCTTGTCTTCTGAATCCTATGTGCAATGTTCCAGCTCACTGCTTCATTTTTTAGTCAACTTACTTCCACCAAACCATTTGAAAAAACTCGAACATTGGCTCTTGCCCCCTCACATTATTCTATAAGTGTATGATCTCTGAATTTTGGTATTCAAAAGAAAGAAAATGAAATTATCTCAAAATAAGAAGAGCTACCATTGCAGGGTGATAAAGGCATAAGGTGAGATAGCTCATGAACAGAAAAAAAAACAGTTCTAATACAGGCATGCATTTCTAGTTTCTCTAACCTGGATGGCATAATAGCATAATATGGACACCACCAATCGAACAGAGTTTCTTTTCAACCTCCATTGCATGTTGAAGGCAGAAGACATGCTTTCTAGATGAATCTTTATCAGATCTCTGTATAGCTGATACTGCTGCCTTTTTCATGTCAGAGTGATAACTTATTAATTGAGTTGCTCCGTTCGAATTTTCAGAAGGTAAATCACTTCCATAGCAGGGAGCAATGCACAAAGAAAAATCATCTGAACAAGGTGTTGTGACCTGCATCTTCATATTTGTTTCATGAACATCCTGTGTTCCAGAATTATGATAACTGCTTCTAAACTCCATTCTACTAGAGTTGATTGACCCTCCGAGAGACCAAATTGAACTACATGAACTATCCTTCATACTATGTGGTGCCAAAGACTTTTTGTGTTCTGGCTTGTAACATCTAGAATCCAATTTCAGAAGATATCTGTCATCAGCACTCTGACTTAGATAATTTGGGTCATTAGAAGTTGTGCGACAAAAATTCTCAGCAGCTACTGCATTTTGGCATTTTGCACCAACCAACTCCTGCTCCATTTCTGCAAAAGGAACCTTACCAAACCATAGATCTGGGTGCTTAGTTGCAACCCGATCATTGTCCAGTCTATATGACAGTAAGAATTCATTTGCAAAATTCTCATGTGTACAAGCAGGCATCTCATGTGGAAGTCTTTCATCATCAGAGTCTGAAGACTCACCTCCATAAGCAGAAGCTAAGAGATCCAGCGCAGATAAGCCATTCTGTTTGGAATTTTCAGAACCCACTTCAATAGGAACTGAATCTTGGGTTGAATATCTAGTGGAATGGTCCATCTTTTCAACTAATGTATCCTTCACGTCCCCGTCCTTTCTTCCTGCAAAAGAGTGCTTGGAAAATAAGCTTTGCATCCATTAATGCAAGAACAAACAGGCCTCCGTATCTTACGAAATGACAGTGGCATAAAACAAGCCATTCAATTCACAGTTGTAACTAATGTGTGGGCTTGTCATACCATGTCAGAAATAAAGACCCATATAAAATGGTTGAAATTATTGAGTGCTCAAGTTAGTTGAGCATATTAAGTATAAAATAATGAGTCAAAATCTTTGCTTGATGCTTTCACAAAACTGAGAAATAAAACCACACTAGATCAGAAAGAACTTGAATCTAAATTCATGTCAATCAAGCTGAAAAATCAAATGAGAAAAAGGTAAGTTCTCAATAAAATAACTTCTAGAAGGAACGGAACATCATGGTAACCATTTTAATCCAATTCTAAAGAGTTTTTCGTATTCATAGAGGGTGTAGAAAAACTCCTCATCTTATACAGCACTTAAAAAAAATAAAATTGATTGCATATAAAGCTTTATCCCATTTCCTAAGGCAGAAGTCACGTTAATAAAAAAAAAAAACAATTATCGCATTTTGCAAACAAATTCAAACGATTGCTAAAAATGAATAAAGTAAACAATAAAACAAATCTTAAATATCAAATATATGAAAGAACAAAAGTTTCAGCTACTGCATTGAACAAAATTGATTACACGTAATTCTTCATCCCTTGTCATGCATAAGGTAGACTTCACAGGAATAAAAATATGGTTATTATCAAAACCAGTATTTGTGTCAAAAACTTGATAAAACGATGCACACAATAAGCTCACTTTTAAAAGAAATCCATACATTTGTATAGCTAGAAATGACACCTCGCTGAACCAGGATAAGCCGTCGCTGGAGTCAATGGAGCAAGGATTCTCCCTTTTTTGGCTTGCCACACCCTGCTCTAGCTGGCCCGACCCCTTCGAGTCGGCCACCAGCTCCTCGGGTCGGCCAACAAACCCTCGTATCGGCCACCAACCCCTCGGGTCGGCCACCAAGCTCTAGCCGGCACCAACTCCTCGAGTTGGCCACCAAACTCCAACCAGCCGCCTTGGCCGACCACCTCCAGTATTAGGCCACCCAACGTCGCCGTACTCTTAACGCTTCAGAATGACAAAAAAGCCAAAATATCTCACACTACTCCCTTCTAAACAAGGGGCATAAATATAATCCCACTCTATCATCTTTATTTCTCTATAAAAAGAAGACTCCGTGGCATGTAAAAGGAGACTCTTAGGCTCTCTCTTATCCCTCATGTAGGGAGATCTCTCTCTCTCTCTTTTCCCATTTGTAACCTTCAAGTTATGTGGAATAAAATGGGCCAAAAAGCTTCGGAACACCTCTCTTTGCCCAACTGTGAGGCAACTCTTTCTCTCTCCCTCCCTCTCTCTTTCTCCTTCCCTCAGAATCCAACTTTATTCCTTGGGCATGGTCCAAAGGACGGATTTGGGTTCAACTCCCTAAAAGGTGCAGTGAGCGTGGATTGAACATGCGGCCTTCAGATCTGTCCTTTGGACAATGCCCAAGAAATAGAGTCGGATTCTGAGAGTGAGAAAAAAAGAAAGAGAGGGAGAGAGGAAGAGTTGTCCCGCGAGGGCAAAGAGGGGTGTCCCGAGCTATTTGGCTCCTTTTATTCCACAGAACTTGAAGGTTACAATTGGGAAGAGAGATAGAGAGACCTCCCTACATGTGAGGTAAGAGAGAGCCTAAGGGACCATCCTTCTACATGCCAACGGGTCCTCTATTTATATAGAAATAAAAAGGATAGAGAGAGCTTAAATTTGCGCCCTAGTTTAGAGAGGAACAATGAGGGATATTTTGGTCCTTTTTTCATTTTGAAGCATTGTAGTATGTCGATGTTGGATGGCCAGCTCCTGGGGGTGATCGGCCCAAGGAGCTGGTGTCCGACACGAAGGGCTAGTGGCCAATACGAAAAACTTGTGGCC